TTCTCGGTGAGCACCATCTCCGAGTTGAAGGAAAAAGCAAATACAGAAATGGGAACGAACTGCCTTTACTCACATAAACCTCTGTTAGTTCATGTGTGGAAATGTGTTTTCCGTGCTTGGAAACTACAGAATGACCAAGAATAACGTGCTATTATTTTAAATTAACATGTTATGTTTTATTTAAAACTTACTACATTTTCAGAATAACATGCTATACTTTCATAGTAACTATGAAACAAGCTACCTATATTTTTGCCAAAGCCCGTTCTTCGCCAAGGAGTTGAGCCAAGCTAGCTGCCATTGACGCTAGGGCATCAGCATACGTGTTCTTGGAACGAAGCACGTGCACAATGCGGAAGCTTTCGAATGATTCGGCTAGTTAGATAGCCGCTTTATGACATGGGATTAAGTCGTCGTTTCTAACTTTGTATTCCCATGTCATATGTCTGACGATGAGCTGAGAGTCACCGTAAGTTTCGAGATGATTCTCCCCCAACTTCTTGGCGAAGTCGAGTCCGATGGGTAGCACATTATACTCATCCACGTTATTGGTATATGGCTCAGTTAAAGAGAAAGCTCGGGGTAATACGTGGTTTTACGGAGAAACCAAGACCACCCCTACCCCTGCGATGATAGATCGGCTTGTGCCTACGCGAGATACTCTGTCAAAGTACAATCGCCAAACTTCTTCCTGCGAGGTTGCATTAACCTCATGGGTTTCATCCGGCATATCTTCGAATAGATCAGTCTTCAATTCGAGCGGATGACTGCCCATGAGATCACATATTACATATCCTTTGACAGACTTCTGCGACATGAAGCGTATGTCGAATTGAGACAGCAGGAGTGCCCATCTTAGGTCCCGGTATGTTTCATGAAGACTCGGATGGGATTCATCCGGGAGATGAAGTGTATGGTTTGACCAACCAAGTAGTGTCGCATTTTCTAAATTGCAAACACCAGGGCTAAGCATTCCTTTTCGACTATAAGGTATTATCGTTTGGCTCCCTGCAAGGTTCTACTCAGATAATAAATGCCTTGCTCATGGCTGGAATTGTCATTCTTTGCTAACAGAGCACCAAGAGAATGTTCCATTGCCCGCACATAAATCAGGAAGGGTCTCCCAAAGACCGGGGCCACCAAGACAGGTGGATTCAAGAGATAAATCTTGATCTCATCGAACGCTTGTTGGTAAGGCTCATCCCATATGAAGGAAACACCTTTCTTCATCAGCTTGGAGAAGGGTTAGCACTTATCGGAAAGATTTGAGATGAATCTTCAGATGTAAGCCAGATGTCCTTGCAGTCCTCTCAATTCCTTGAGATTTCTGGGTGGTTGATGCTCTCGAATAGCTTGCACTTGTCGGGATCTATGTGAATTCCCTTCATTGTGACGACGAATCTGAGGAATTTGCCGCTCGACATCCCCAAAAATGACTTCGTGGGGTTCATCTTAAGCTGATGGGATTGCATCAGCTCGAACATCATTCTCATGTCTTGAAGATGATCGTCTTTGTTGTGACTCTTCATAACCAAGTCATCTACGTAGCACTCGTTTGTCTTTTATAGGTGATCCCAGAAAATTGTGCTCATGGCGTACTGATAGGTTACACCGACATTCTTAAGTCCGAAGGGCATAATTGTGAAACAGTATACCCCTACTGGACTTCTGAACAAAGTGTTCTTCTTATCTTCAGGGTGCATCATGATTTGATTATACCCTAAAAACCCGTCCATGAAGGACGTCCTTTAGAACCCACAAGTATTGTCGATGATGATGTCTATGATGGGTAAAGAAAATTCATCCTTCATACATGAAACATTTAGATCTCTGAAGTCGATGCATATACAGATCTTTCTATTCTTCTTCGGGACTAGAACAATGTTAGCCACCCAATCAGGGTGTTGTTCCTCTTTGATGAAGCCATCTTCACGCTTTGATTGCCTCTATCATTTATGGATGAAACCGTCTTTGTTGTTGTTTGACAGGTTTGGTGTCCGAGTTGATTATAAGGTGATGCATGGCGATCTGAGGATCAAGGTAAGGCATGTCCTCATAATTCTAGGCGAAGACGTCAATATATTCCCGGATGAGGGATATAAGGTCTTCTTTCTCCTAGGGAGGTAAGCTATCACTGATAAATATGGGCTTAGGATTGGACTCTTCTCACATATTTATTTGGAGTATCTTATCCTCCGTGGGTGGTTCACGTTGTTTAAACCAACCACTCCATTGGGTACTAATGTGGCGATCCCATGCTTCATCATAAAGTAAGATCTGATCATCCTTTTGGATTCGGTGGGATCGACCGTAGCCATGTTGACTGTGAGGTCCCTAAACAGATCTCCCACACTAACATCCAAATCCCACATCGAGGATATTGATGATGATTCTCTGGAAGGACCATCTTTGGAATCTTCACCGAAATTACAATATAACTCTGATGAAGAAGAGGTGTAACCCAACCCTCTTTGAGTTTTGCCGAAGTAATTGTCGGGCTTTTCTCTGGGAGCATATGCAGGTCAGATGAGTGTCTTTCACCCTTTTCCATAATTCAAACCTTCTTTGCGGATAAAGTCATAACCTATGCTCTCCATCATACGCTTCGCGATTTGCTCATAGTGCGAGAATTGAGGGGCGGACTCATCATCACCTGACTCGTCCCATATTGTATGCATAGGCCACTCTATCCTTCCGAAGATAATATCTTTTTGATAATTACCTCAGGTGGGTACGACAAAAACGGCTTGCGAGGACTCGATCGTTTGTTTGTCTGTGACGAACGATGAATACATGGGCAAGTGCAAAGAAGAGTTATTATATAACTCTATAACCAAATTGCTAAACTCATCATTACTAGACTCTGAACTAGATAACAAGCAAAGTCGGGATCTTTATTCAAGATAAACACGTCCGCTTCGTTAGTGTTGGTTACAACAAGGCTTCCATAGCCAATTACAATAGGTCAATGTCTTTCAAGACAAGACCCTCGTTGCACTCAAACTCACTATCAACCCCATTACTATTGCCAAGTTCCTCGATCGGTAGCTTGTCGCTAGGTTCAGAGTTCTGGTAGAGTAAAGAATCGGTGAAGTAGTTTTCAACCCTCTTGAAGGGCTGCTTATCAGCAACCACCGTCTTTACTTGATCATGGTCGTCCACATCCTTCAAACACTGATGCAATATGGATAGGACTATCCAGTTGCTATTGATCCATTGTCGACCTAATAGGATGTTGTAGGAAGGCTCCATATCGATGACGTAGCAGGTCACTTCTATCTTCTTGTCGTCTAGCCGGCACTTGAGGTGGATCTTCCCTAGCGGCTGAGTTTCAATGACATTGAAGTCAAAGATGGTGGTAGTCATTGTAGATAACCACTTTTGAAGCACCCCAAGTGTTTGATGAGCTTTAAGGGGACAATGCTCAGTGCAGACCCTGGATCTACTTGGATCATGTCCACTAAAGAGGAGTCGACGTATCCCGTGAAGTACATGGGTTGGTCATAGGACATACTCTTGATGAGCATACCCTCAGAAGTGAATGTAATGTAGGGAATCTATTGTCCGGTATTTGGTAGCATTTTGGACACCCTCTCTCCGCATCCTCTTCCGAAGTAGGAGAGAAATGCATGGCAAACGCCTCTGAGTCAGCTAGTTCCTCTCGTAAAGCTTCCTAGGAAGACTTGGATAGCCGCAGGAGCTCATACAAGGTGATCCTGGCTGGAATGTTCTTCAGTTATGCATGTAGGTCGAACTGAAAGGGTTGACTATTTGAACCAACTTGTCGGGATTCGGTTGGACTGTTAGTGGAGGTCTCGTCGGTGGTCTTACCAGACTTTCTGCTATTAGAGGGTAGTTCTTGGAAAAGTCCTTCCCCACTCGGATAATCAATGTGTCTACCTTATTGTCAGAATTGGTAAGGGTCGCTATCTCCACTTTATCAATGTCTGGAATTATCGAAATACTGTTACAAAGCTTAGGCTTGCCTTTGAACTTGTTAGAAGTCCATTGCTCATCGTTGAGGACATCAGGATGAACCCATATCACCTGTCCTGATGGCAAGGTCTGTGGCACCAAACCTTTCTCTTGTTGATTATGAGGATCGGCATTGACAATCTTCAGCTTCGTTTTGGGGATGGGTACAACCCCTGCTGGTATGGATTTTAGGAAGATCTATTCTGAATTTAAGAGTGACCATGATTGCAGTCACTTTCTTTTGCATCGTTTCCTTCTTTAGGACACCCGCATCGTAAAGAGCTTACAGCTTATCCTTAAGGATATAGCACTTAGAGGTATGATGAGCCAAAAATCTGTGGTACACATAGTAGTTCGGATTATCTGTTTTATTCACATCTTTAGGCTTCGTGATCTATGGAAGCTTGATCCTGTTTCTCTTGAGGAGAGTATCAAAAGTAGCCACAACTTGATCTTCCTTGAAGTCATATTGCCTCGGAGGGCACTGCTCGAAAGACTTAGGCTTCTGTCTCTAAGCTGACTTGGGGGCTAGAGTAGAATCGACAGCCATGATCTCTTTCCCCCTCGACTGAGAACGGTTTTTGGGGGCACTTGGTTCTGAAGCTCCTCTTTTAAATTGAGGTTCTTTGGCTTCCAGCCTTTTAATCATGTTTTCCACCTACTCACCTTGGCAAAAAAATTCCTTCTAGGTTTGGGTTTCCACCACACCGACCTTGGATAAAATGTCGATCGAGAGATTTTTGTGACATATCTTGATCAAAGTGCTTTCAGATACCTGGTCACGGTAATGAAGTGACCGATTCCTGAATCTCTTTACGAAATCGTTGACCGACTCTTTTTTCTTCTACTTCTCAACAAGCAGAGTGGCCATCGACACTTTTGTGTCATCATCAAAGAATCGTGCCAAGAAAATCCTTTCTATATCAGCTCATGATCTGATAGAGCCTGGTTCCAACTTGCGAAACCATTCAAAGGCTACCCCCTTTAGGGTGTCGATGAACAGTCGAGTGAGGATAGAATCATTCCCCATGAGAAATCCTATTTGAGATAGGAAGTAGTAGATATGTTGTGATGGAGATCCCTTATCATCAAACTTGACTAAGCTCATTGGTTTTAACTTTGCCAGGTAGGGGATTATATCCCATTCAACTGGATACGGCCTAACTACC